ACACACACACACACACACACACACACACACACACACACACACACACACAGTAAAGCTGTCCTTTTCCTTCTTTCCTGTGGTTCAGAAGTTTGACTATGACAGCAGCACAGTGAGGAAGTGTTTCTTCCGCGAGGCTCTCTTGCAGATCTTCATCCCCTACATTCTAAAGCAGCTCAACCCTTGCTTTGTATCTGTGAGTACATCACCTTCTCTCTTCCCCAGAACCTGGAAAATTAATAATGCACATTTAGTTTTTTGTTTCTGTAAGAAAGAAAAGCATTGTGACTGGTTCATTGTTGTTTGTTCTTGGTTTCATTCTTCTTTGAAACACCAGGAGTTGCCACGCTTTGAGGAGCTCATCTTCGAGGACTTTTCCCACTTCATCCTGGTAGAAAACATCTTTGAAGAGGTTGTGCTGCAGTCAGTCATGAAGGACATTATAATGGGTCAGTCTTCTTTGGTGGTATATCTGTATCGATGAAGAAAGACAGTGAAAGCAGTCAGAACTGAGGGCCTTATTATACTACCAGGAGGCAACATTGCAGGCAGTGCAATGGGAACCATTAAGAGGAAAGCCTGCATGGACTCACAAAGTAACAAATCAGACAGGACGTGATGAATGTTGAACAAGACAAAAAGGTTTCAAAGCAAAATATCCTGTCATCCAGAGAAAGAAGCACACTCTGCAAGTATTCAAACGACACAGTTCCCCAGAAAGGTCCTCGAGTCCAGACGGGTCATCCACTAATTCCTCTGATTCCTACATTTGGTACATTATGAAGAATCGGCCTTGAATTGTGCAACAGATCAAAGTGATGCAACACAGATGCTGGTATCAAATTCTAAAGAAGCATTTAGTGTTTAACAAACGTCTCCGTGTAGTGGTCACAGCTGCTTTCACTGTGATAAGATATTCAGATTAAATATGATAGAAAAGTGGCATCTTGGATCATTTAACCTGGGAGATCAGCATCATTCATATTGGTCCCCGCTGTACTCTGTGCACACAACATAAGTCATTGAACTTATTGTGAGAATCCACATTTGAACCCTTTTTCTCTCTGTCTGCAGCTGTAAAGGAGGCGGCAGTCCAAAGGAGACACAATCTGTACAGGGACAGTATTGTTCTGAGCAACAGTGACCCCAACCTGCATCTGCTTGGAGATAATCCCTCCATCGACTGGGCGGGACAGTACGGAGGCGACCAGGAGGAGGTGGATGGGGCAGAGAATGATGCCGAGTACGATGGTGAGGTGGAAAGTGTGACGTCCCGGAAGAAGAAAAGAGTGAAGCAGGTGGTGTCCTTGATCCAGACGGACGGCACCGCTGTCCTGCCTAGCGAGTCGTGCCTGGAGGTGCCTGGTGTTGAAGACATACCAGAGGAAGATGGAGAGGGGCGGAAAGAGAATGGAGCTGGGGAGGAGAACTCTGAAAACAAACCTTTGTGTGACCACAATGGATTTGCAAGTCTCAAAGCCTCCACAGGAAAGCCAGAAGACGACAACGAACCCGAGGAGCAGCAGAAAGAGGAATTCCAGGCGACCGAGTCTGCAGGAGAGGGAGAGGAAAGTCAGGCTGTGGCAGAAAAGCAGCCATCATCCAAGCAGGACGAGTCGGAGCTTTTACTCCTGCCTCCTGCTCCAGCAGCACAAAAGGAGTCTGAGAATCAGGAGACGAGCGTCGCTGCAGGAGCCCAGCGACTAAAGTGAATCCTGCCCGCTTCCTTTTGCTTTTCCCGTTTATACCAAGTTTAAGACACTAAACACCTTTTTTAACCACAACAACCCAAACTTTGTCTTCACCTGGTAGAAACTGTGTGCTGTGTATAAATGTGACAAGCTGCAAGAGCGCCAGGATCGAGGTGCCTTCAAGAAGCTGGATGTTTTCTGTGGTTTGACCTTCAATCGGACTTTTCTAACTGCGTGATTCAAACTGTAAACATTAAACTGTCACTGAGTGATGAGCGGCTTAAAGAACGTGCGACCAAAGAATGAATCCTGAGTGCAGACGATCGTGTCCATGTCAGCACGAGTTTGTTTTGTGTTGGTGGGAACGGCACCGTTTTACATCAGTAACAAGAAAGATTTTATTAACTGTAATTTTACATCATTTTCTATCATTTCCACACTTTTTCATTTTTAGATTGAACTTTCTGAAGCAAATGATTTATTGGTAATAAATTATCGATCAAAAGTATATTTGTCATCGTTTCTGTTGCCACGTGCACACCAAGGTTAGGGAACTAAGCAAAACTTACAACTATAATGAGGATTTTATTTCAGTTAGTAAAATGTAAACAGTGAGCGGCGTACAGACTGCTCCTGGACAATAAGAAACACAAACGTCACCACACATAAGCTGTTCCAGGTGATCAGGACGTTTCTCACGTCCTTTCCACCAAAGAACTACATCACGGCAGGATGGAGGTGTCTGTGTACATGCATAGACTAAGGTGACAGGTAATGGGTGTGACTGTGTAACCCATATTTCTAATGACCTGAAGAACGTCCCTGTAGAGACGAGCAGAATGTCAACTGTTCGTTTCACAACAGAAAACTTTCTGTTCAACTTGGAAATGAGCAAAATCTGAGGCTATGATTTTCTTTAATATTTGACATTTAGGTGTTTTTACGGAGCAGTTCTGCGTCGTCCTCCATCCTTTGCTCTGGTTTGAATCTCTGTTACTCATCTATTGATCACACAAATGTTCCACGTCTTCTTTTTGTGTGTTACACTTATTATAAACACATCCCCGCGTCACTGTTGGTAGAAAACTAAAGAACTGAAACTGCATTTGCCTTTGCAGTTTGCACTTTCTGAACAATATTCCCTGGATTCAAATCAACTGTGGAGAATCTTTTACTGCATAAAGTGTTTTTAAACTGTAGATTTTATGAGGTTGACTTGAACAACCCTCTGTGCACTTTCCCACTGTGTGCTGTATTTCACTTTTTAAACTCTGAGCACAAATAAACTGAGAACATTTTTCTCCAGTGAGTATGTTTGTACTGTATACTCAGTTGCAGTGAAGTTGCATGAGTATTTATAAAAATGTTTGAATCTAGTATTAGCATATTTGCAGAAGAATCTGAACAGTTCCTCTGACACTGCTGTAAATCCAGAGTTGCTCCTTGACCTTTGTAGTCAGACGTTACTTGTTCCTGTCTGTGAGCTGCAGAGCGAGATCACAGACCTGGTGCTGGGCGGGTTCATGGGCTCGCGTAGAAACAATCCACTATATCAAACCTAAACATTATTAGACCATCTGAAGCAGACGGAGCCATTTGAGCGCTCTGTCTGCCTGCGTCACACAGTTTTGTAATTAAAGAGCAACATCTTTACAGGAGCAGTGAAGCTGTTATTGCTGGATACTGGTCCAGGCTGATTTCTGATTGGATGCTCGTGTCTTCACGCCTCTGTTGCTTTGAGGTGCCAAGATTCTCATCTTTACAAATCAAAGTCATCTGAGCTTTGAATATGTGAGTCGTATGTCTGTTTATTACGAGTACACACACGTATAAAAGAAAATCATGATTTTTGATGTGGACTGTGACGACTCGTGCAGGATATCCATCCACCCAAATACCAGAATCCAAAGTGTGAATACGGCTGGACGACAGTATCAGCCAACACGTCGGATTTGATCACGTTTCTAAACACGACTGGGAAAAGGATGCTGGGTGAGCGCCACTAACTTCTACCAACAGAGCGAGCAGCACACCGCACTGCAAATTCATTAAAGCACCTCCACAGAAACCAGCTGTGCTTCCAAAGAGAAAAACAGGAAGTAATTCAGCTGTAATTCAAGTCTATTCTTTTTCTCTACATTTAACAGAAAGTCTATTCAGGCATCAGGTGAATTCATCCTCAGTCTCGGCAACATAGATTTTCCATATTTGAACTATTGTGAATCACTTAATGTAAAATCATTTCCAGACGTGTCTCTAATGAAAACTTGAAGATGAGTCAGAAAGAACAGGCAAGGTCAAAGGTCGAAGCTGCTACCACTGTTTCACTTTCATTAAAAAAAATGTAATTGACATTAAAAATGTATTTTTCAAAAAAGATTTCACTAAAGGGGCGGAGGAAACATCACAGTACTATCAAGAGATTTACAGCTGCTTAACAGCACAGGAATAAAGTCATGAAGTCACAAAGATAATTAGTAATAAGTCATTTCTTTTTTTATATATATAAACCCTTCAAATTCCCTCTGTGAGCAAAGGTACACAGAAAAACTGAGAATCATTTTTAGCACATCAGCAGAACAGTGTGAAGTTCATGAGAACATCCACTAATGTGTTTGCAATTATTGAGACAAATGAGATTTATTTCCCCATTTCCATGTCTGGTGGAAATATCTCATAAACATAGGCGTGCAGGCTCAGTGGAAACAAAACCTGAGAGTCAAACAGCTCACATCACAAGATCCCAGCAGCGTACGTTACAAACAAGCTTCATGGTCCACTGAACGTCTGAACCTCGACTATTTCAGATCTAAGCGTGAAAGGGTGAAATGTTGCAGTTAGTCACAGTTAGTGTGATAATCTAATGAAAGTCTTTTAGGTGGAAACACATTTAATCTTGTTTATTTGTAAATGTCACGGCAGCTTCTAGCTTGTGCAGAACAAACACTGATTCTGTGACAGCTCAAGTCTGGGGAGATAACTCGCATTTAATATTCTGCTCTCGCTCTTTCAAGCACAGCAAAGCAGACGAATAACTCTTCAACAAGTGGCCGTCTGTCTCCCCGTTAAGAATGCCGACAGGTGTTGAGCTTGTCGGCGTTTGTATAACTGAGTCACTGTTGTAACTAACAGGAAAAGTGTCTGTTTCCTTTAAAGCCTGGAGTGACCTGTAGGACTGGTTCATCCTAATGAATAATAACACTCAGGTTTTTGTCTTTACTGTTTCACAAAGTGAAATAATCAAATCACTTGAATTATATTTATCTAATGAAACTCTGAGCTAATGCTGATTTGACTCTACTCTTTGGAAGAAGCGAGATTAAAGAGGAGAACGAGCACATGGAGGCCTGAAGACGCACTTATTTCTTCTCTGTAGATACAATCCAACAGGAAAGGAGGCAGCAGGAAACAATAAAATCCAAATTCATACTGTAACACACGAAAAATGAGCAGAGAGTCCACAGTGTGCAGGTGGTGCTGGCTCCTTTGTTGTTACTTGCTGCAGTTTCTAACTGTGGAGGCCTACGACTCAATCTTCAGATGATGTCTCCTGCTCATCATCTTCATCATCATCTTCCTTTCTGAGGAACATAGGTCGTTCTCCTCCTCTTGGTCGTGACAGCTGCTCAAATGCAGGAGAAAGACCATGGGAGGAGTCCCTGGAAATATGGGCAGCCAGGTCGGGAACATTGATGCAGATATCAGGGAGCAGGAAGTAATCCAGTCATTTTTGGTTTCAAGAACCATGACTTTTAACAAAGGTCTTCTGAGTAATGCATTACTTTTTTCTGAGTAATGACTCCAACACTGATCACAACAAAGAGGGCAAACACCTCCAACATGCACCAACATGTGACCACACAGCATGAAGTTCATTTGCATGAATGTAATGATGGTGATCAGCATCATCGGGTGTTAGACCGCACATAACCTGATTATCAACTGAATCATAAGTGATATCAATAATAATGATAAATAAATTCTTATCTGTACACATACCTAATCACAGTACTTTGTGTGCTGTACACTCATAATTCAAAACTCCTATTGCTGAAAAAAAGAGCATTTTATTCAACATATTAAGAACAAAAAACACAGAACAAAAGAAAAGTTAACATAATAATAATAATAATAATAATAATAATAA